AAACAATAACATTTGCTCACATAACCACACAAGAGCTATCAAACTCAGGAAATTAACAATGGTATTACACTCCCTTCTAATCCTGGACACCCACTTGACCTTTACCAATAATGTCCTTGAAGGCAGAAGAACCCCGTTTAGAATCACGTGTTGCATGTTGGTGTCATACCCCTTTAGCAACTGTCATTTTAAAACAGTTCTCTCTTTCCTTGATTTTCATGACTTGGATATGTTTGATGATTACAAGTCAGTTATTTTGAGGAAATTTGAGTTCATAGGTTTTAACAAAAAGATGTAGAGGATTAAGGTTGATCATATTTCCCTTAAATTAGTCTCAAGATCTTGGCTGGGAGGGTGGAGCAGGATGAAGGGAAAGAAATAGCTCTAGAAGAGAGGGGCCCCTTTGGAAATGTGCTTATCTCACTGTACACAAAGGATGAGGGCTTTTGGCCTTTCCCATGGAGGGTGCGGGTGGGGGAAAGGAAGCTGATTCCCCAGGAAGCGTGATCAGATAAGAAATCTGTGCCTCTGTAAACTCATCTGCTTCTGTTTTAGTACTGTCCTTCCTTAACTTCCTCCTAAGTTTCAGTAAAACTACTGGGGAGAGGGGGTTTCTATCTTTTTTTCAGCTGAGCTAAGGGGAGGAGGATTGTCCAAGAAGCTGCTCTTGAGAGGGCTGCCTGGGGCCAGGTGTGGTGAGTCTATAGCAGACAGTTAAGAGCTCCTTTTTCTGCTGCCACAGGCATCTGTTCCTACCCCCTTGAAACTGTTGAGTCTCTCTTCTCTATGGCGCTGTGGCTGCCTCCTGAATGGGGGCTGTGAGCTATGATCAGTCAGGCAAAAGGACTGATGTGTGAGGAACAGCCTCACATTCATATGGCTCTTATCTGCCTACCTCATCAGTAGCTTTGCAGGTAGCAGGCACCTCCTCCAGAAAGAAGCTGGGTAAGGGCAGTGTTGAAATAGGAGGACACAGGAGGACAGTGGAGTGTTCTGGAAGGAGGACCTGGTGAAAGCACTTTACTTGATGCTTTTGGATACATTAGTCAGAGTAATTTCATTTCAACTGATTTTGAAGAGAGAGGAAGAGAAGGAAAAAAAATAAAAGGAAGTTAAAAGAATTTGTGATTGATTTCCCTTTTAAATCCAGGATGTCGGAGACTTCAGAGGTTGCCTAGTTTAGCCAGTGCTCCCAGGAGCCCCTGCGTCCCCAGCCAAGCCCAGCTCTGGAACTCCACACCCTGAGCCTACCTGACAGGTTGAGAGTTTGGTAAGGCAGGGAGCAATTTACTTTAACTGCATCGCTAAAGCAATGTTTTCTTTTCAGAGCTGGGGGGTGGAGGGTGGATAAAACTACACACTCTTAGCTCAATCCAGGTGTTTATACTGTTTGCTGAAGTTAGAACAGGCATGATTTCCCTTAAGGAGAGATGGTGGCATTTTGAGGGATGGTCTGTGTGTGTGTGTTTAATTGGGTAGAAGCCCCAAAGAGCGTGAGTCCTTTTTACTTGGCAGGAACTCCAATCCATTCATCAAGGGAAAACAAAAGTGTACCTTCAAACACCAGCTTTGTGATAACCTCAAACACTTAAAAGTCAATATTTGCTCACAGGAACTTTATGTATGTACATTTCAGACACTTCCTACGTGGGTCAATTTTGATTTCCTTCTTTCTGATAGAGCCTAGCTTGGGGAACAACACTAATCAAAAGGTCCCTATCAGTCCATCTCCCCTCCCATCTTTTGGACTGATCATTATTTTTTAACTCTCTAATATAGGTATCAGACTTTGGTTGGAACTCCCTTAATAAGAGAGTTTTTTTGGCATGTTTTTGTTTATCATTTTATAAATATGAGAGAGACACAATTTGACAATAGAGCTTCTAGATAAAAAACTGGTTTTGTTAAAGTACTTGAAATTTAAAAGCCCTTCTTGCCTTGTAAGGAGCCCTTTGAAAGAAGATCTGTTTGGGACCCTCTGGGATTTCTGAGGAAGCACACAGCTTTGGGGGAAATGCTTTCTCCCTCCCCTGATCCCACAAGTACACATTTCTCAACCCTACACTCTAGCTAGACCACTCTGCTTCCTGATGCAGTAATCAGATATTTTGATGAAGAAAATTTTAAAGCATAATCATGCTGTAGTAAGGAAAGTGGGATTTCTTTCCTTGTTGCAACTCAAGGTCACATGTTCTTTAAAATTTTGGTCTCTCACAAGATGCCCATCCCATAACTATGAAAAAGTCAGTCTCCAACATTAGACAGGTTACCAACCAGAATGGAAGAGAGACAGCCAGCCAAATAATTTACGCATGCAGTAATTGCAGTAAATTTTTACTCATGTTATTAGTATATTTGACACATGCATTACATTTACTGAGTCCAGTGCCTAAGAACACAAAGGCAAATATTAAAATTTATCAAATCTATGGCATATATTGCAATCACACCTACTTAAAAAAACTCACCAAGAAAAAAATACACTGACAATTGTATGTAAGTAAACCTCTCATTTCAGAAATGCTAGAAAATGGAAAATCTAGAAATGCTAGATAATAGAAAATGGAAAATGAATGAATCCTTCAAGATTCACAAGGGAACCAGGTAGGGAACCAATTACAAAACAAGGTAATAAGCACCATTACAGTGGTAAACAAAGCGGAGGTTGGTCCAGAGCCAGAGATAGGCACTTTAGATAAGCTTCATAGAGGAGGTGACATTTTTCAAAAAATGAACATGACTTGCAGGTGAAGAAGACTTGGCATTGCAGGCTGAGGAAACTATCTGCAAAGGCAAAGTGGACTAATGATCTTATGTGGGGCTTTGGCTACCTCTCTCGATTTAATGCTTACAACATGATCAGACTTTACCATTACTTCTCTTTTACAAAGGAGGAAACAAGCACAGGTTTAGTAACTTGCTCAAGATCTTTCAGCTGGCAATCAAGAAATACTAGCTATTGCTATTATTTCTGTCCAGTCATGTGGGCCATTGATCCAGAGCTGTTATCAAATATGGTAGAGACTAACTACAGGTGCCTATGGGAAATGTGGATTGTACAAGTTGAGATGTGCTATAAAATATACCTGATTTTAAAACCTTAGTGCCGGGGCTGGGGATGTGGCTCAAGCGGTAGTGTGCTCGCCTGGCATGTGTGCGGCCTGGTGTTCGATCCTCAGCACCACATACAAAACAAAGATGTTGTGACTGCCGAAAACTAAAAAAAATAAATAAATATTAAAATTCTCTCTCTCTCTTTAAAACAAAAAAACAAAAACAAAACAAAAAAACCTTAGTGCCCCCAAAAGGATGTAAAATATCTCATTAATAATTTTTATATTAATTACATGTTAAATGATGTTTCTGATACATCTGGTTGAGAATATATGGTTAAAATTAATTGTTCTTTTTTACTTTTGGTAATTGAATTACTAGAAAAAAATTTAATTAAGTATATGAATCACATTAAATTTCTGTTGGTCAGCATTGTTCTAGAGCAGTCTACTATGAAGTGGCATTGTGAGAGCAAATGATCCTGAGGGCAAAGGAATGTATTTGTGCCCATATTCTTTACATTCTGCCAGCAGAGTCCACTTGTGGTTCCTCCCACAGGGTGACTGGTTGTCACTCTGCCTCTGGGGCTAGGTGAAATATAGAAGCTAGTAATCAAGAAATACTAGCTATTGCTATTATTTCTAAACTTTGAACACAGACAGCCTTACACCAGAGTCTGCCTTTGAGTTCCAGAAATGTGACTACCTGTGGGTGTGACATTGAGCACAAAGGGCTGTGGTCAGATTGTTAATGTGCTACTTCTTTCAGGGAACCTCTTTGTACACATTTCCAAAAGACCTCTAAGGAGTGAGTAGAATGCTGGGGATTTCTGGCACCAGTTGAGTGATAAGGCCTCAAGGAAATAACTTCCATCCTAAATCAGGCTCCTGTGAGATCCGGGCTCCTTCCTCATTACATTCCAAGGCCAGGTATTGGCCTATGCTAGTGAGATTCTGCCCAAGTCCTGAGCAGGGAAAATACCCCTCCATACCCAGGACCCGTCTGCTTCTTCTACCCTGCTCCATCTTCTACCCAGTCACACACCTACCCGGTAAACTTCTATGCATCTGTGGCTTTGTTTGTGCTTCCCCTCACTAACCCTTTCTTGTCTTACTTTCAAGGCCAATTCACCCTTGAAGACTCCGCTCAAACCTCACCTACTCTACAGCCTTCCCTCACTTCCCCAGGGCATAAGTTATCCTCCCTCTGTTCCACACTGTAGTTATTTGTCTACACATCTATGGCCCCTGCTTGATGATGGGTTCCCTCTAGTCAGGAAAATGTCCCACTTGTTCTCCTCCACCCAGCAGTGCCTCATCAGTATCCACACACATCACACAGATGCTCAATCCCTGCTCTGGAATTGAGTTGAATCAAATCACATTTAACCAGCTAAAGGAGAATGGGGACAGCTCCTTCACAATAGAATTCTCCTTTATAAATCCTGAAAGGCTGATTGTTCCTACTATTTGCCTATCTATTAAAATGAAGAATTGATAGAGGTAACAGCAGTTTTTTGTTTTGTTTTGGTCTTTTTATTTATTTATTTTATTGGTGCATTATAATTATACATAATAGTGGAATTCATTATGCCATATTTGTACATGCGCATAATTTGATCAATCTTATTCCACAGTATCTTCCTTTTCCCTCCCCCCTCCTCTTTCCCCAGATTTGCTTGTGCTACTAAAGTAATCTCCCTTGTATTATTAATTAATGCATTAAAATTATATATATATATATATATATATATATATGCAGGATTCATTATGATATATTCATACATGTACAGCACATAATTGGGTAGATTTCATCAACTTCTGAAATGACTTTTACAGAAGAAAACCCTGCAAGAAAAAAAATCATGATACCTTACCAGCATGACTCAGCAGCAAGGCACATCTCAGGGGAAAGGAAGATTTGGTTTTTGGTTTTGCTCATATAAGTTGTTTTTTTTTTTTTTTTGGTACTGGGGATTGAACCCAGGGGGCACTTAGCTACTGGGTTACATCCACAGCCCTTTTTATTTTTTGAGACTAAATTGCTTCAGGCCTTGCTAAATTGCTGAGGCTGGCCTTCAACTTGTGATCCACCCTGCTTCCAGAGTTGCTGATTTTACAAGCATGCATCATCATGCCTGGCTTCTCATCATAGGCTCTTAATCTGTGAAATTCAATCACTCTCCCACCCTAGTGTCTCATGCTCTGATTTTGATACAGGGGTTGATGCATGATCTGGGGCCTGTTTCTGTGGCATTCAAAGGGTCTGCATTTGGTTTCCTTCCTAGTTTGCTTCTCACAACAGCCTCATAGAATGCAGTGGGTTTGTTTTTTAATTTTTTTTTTTTTTTGGTCCTCATGCATGCTAGGCAACTACTCTGCCACTGAGCTGTAACCCCAGCCTGCGTTTTTGTTTTGTTTTTAATATTGCCATTATTCTTAAGAGTGTCATGAATTAACAATTTGTGATAACTTCTCCCACCTTCACACAATTTGATGTTTTCCTTCCAAACCTACTATTGATGATAGTGATGATCTGGATCACACCTTGTGAGTCAGGACCTGTCCTTCCTTACTAGAGACTGATGCAGACAGCAATGACTAGGTGCTTTGAAATACTAGGCAGTAGGGCCTGGAAAACATGTCACAGGCCCTGAAAAGGTGTGCCAAGTCAGAGCCAAGAGCTAGTCCTCCTTTGCCTCACAATTCTGCTCCAACCCCCAATCCTTTCCCAAGGTGACATGCACCAAGGGGCCCATGCACAAATTGTTTTCCTACCACTGATCCTAATCCTCCAAAATAAAACTGATGCTTATTCTACAAAATAATAATAATTTAACTTCAGGCACCCTGTTATTTCATCCTAGGAGCCTGCCCCATCACCTATAATACTATTTTACATAAGTTTTTCAATTATTTTACTGAAATGTCCAGCAAAGACTCAGCACCTTGAAGCCAGACAGCTTAACAGAATGATCTCTCAATTTTCTTCCTGATTGTATGTTTTTTGTTAAATTTTTGAGTAAGTACAATTTAGAGAAGGAAGTCTGATTTCTACTCAAGAAAAACAGGGAATCTGTCTTGGCAGTTAATGTGTGAAGTGCAATGTGTAGTAGGATGATCTATTCACATTTAGCTTTTATTTTATTTTTTCCCTCATTCCTCTCCAGTTCCCCTTCTTGCTTCTCTTCTTTTTTAAGAAATGCATCAAAAAGTCTGGGAGAGTGAACTATCCTGAGACTCTACAGGTAGCTCCCTCCTCCAAAGGCAACAGGGCTCCATAGAAACCATCGAAGTGATGAATCTGAAGAAGTAGATGTGATATCAGTGAAGAGTCCAGTTGGGGTCCAGGTTCTTGGCTTCCAAACAAAGAACTGAGCAAGACATGCAGAAATAAAAGGCAGAGTATAGATTTATTGAAAGTAAAAGTGAGCTCAGCATGGTGATCCAGCCATAATCCCAGCCACTCAGGAGATTGAAGCAGGAGAATTGCAAGTTCGAGGCCAGCCTCACCAACTTAGCAAGACCCTAAGCAACTTGGTGAGAACCAGTCTCAAAACAAAAAAAAATAAAAATAAAAAATAAAAAAGGGCTGAGGAAATGGGCACGGTGGTGCATGCTTGTAATCCCAGCAGCTCAGGAGGCTGAGACAGGAAGATCATGAGTTCAAAGCTAGCTTCGGCAACCAGTGGGGCGCTGAGCAACTCAGTGAGACCCTGTCTCTAAATAAAATACAAAATAGGGCTGGGGATGTGGCTCAGTGGATGAGTGCTCTGAGTTCAATCCCTGATCCCCCAACCTCCTCCAAAAAAGGGCTGGGGATGTGTCTCAGTGGTTAAGCACTTCTGGATTCAATCCCTAGTACAAAAACAAAACAAAACAACATCAACAACAAAAACAACAACAAAAACACTCCATAAAGTAGAGTGGAGCAACCTCTGTGAGAGGTCAAGGCCCCAAGGTCTGGGCAATTTGATTTTTTATGTGTCAAACTGTTCTGCATTCTTCTCTTTATGGACCTAATTGAAGACCCTGCCCTATTTGTTCCCATTGGTTACTTTATTTTCGCCTAATTAGAATATGGGACTTCTGGCAGAGTTGCTATGTTGATAAGCACTCAGTGGCGGAGTTGCCATGGTAATAGGACTTACCATAAACAGAGACAAGATGATTCATTGCCCCATCTTATATTCTAGCCAACATTTTTCTTGTACCCTGCCTCTGCCATCTTGATATCCCTAAACTCCTACCTCAGATGCCATGGCCTTATTTGCTGGAAAATATTAAATAATGAGGACCTTTTACATTTTCAGGAATTGCCAGACTTACAGTACAATGTTCCCAAGGAAAGGAAAATATCCAGACTTTTGGGGTCAGAGGGCTGGCTACCCTGATAAAAGCTGTTGCAGCCCATTTAGGTGACTAGATTTTGGGGGACAGACCACAGAAGGACTCAAAATTAGCACCAAGAGTTGCAATTCTGGGAATCTAAGCAAGGGACCTTCTTGGCCAAGTGGAACAAGAGGCTGAGAATCATTTTCCCAAAGACCTTGGCAAAATTTGTATGTTAAAGCTTAATCCCCATTTGGGCAGTGAGAAGTGATTTGATCAAGAAGGCTCCGCCCTCACAAATGGACTTGTGCATTTTGAAAGTGCTGGAGAGAGGAGATCACACCCAGGATACACGTACGCAAGAGGTTTTACCACCAGCCCAAAGTTGAAAGTGAAAGGGATGACCACAAGTCTCTGTCCCTGATGATTCTGAGAGTCACCGAGTCAAGAACAAGCAGTAGAAGCCACACGAAACATATTTTATGTTAACAATGACAAGAGAAAATGTTCACTTGTGGAGAGGATGGTGGTAAAGCAAGGCAAAATGAGAGCCTAAGCTTTGAGAGAAGGCTATCCATAGTCATTCTCCATTTAATAAAATTTCCCTAGTACATATTCTTTGCCATGCACTATGCTAGTATGTACTATTTATTTATCAAACAATAAATAAAACTCACATGATCCTTACCCTCTGGTACAGAGGTAAAGGTTATTTCAAGTCCTCAAATAACTTTAAACTATAGTTAGCACTGAGGACTAATTATTATCTGTTTTCAACCCAATCAGTTTTTAACTAAGAGATAAAACAGATGAGTCTCTGTGCACAAATTTCAAGAAAACAAAGAGTTAAGTCCTGTACAGGGCCCTGCTGAAGCTGTCCCAGGAAAAAGAGGGGCCTATTTATTAGTCCTTGGGCAATGGGTTGGTTCTTCCTCTACTGTCATTTCAGAGAATAAGTGCTCCCTCTGGCATCATGGCTGGCCCGGAAGGTCACTGCAAGCTCAGGGTACCACAAATGCAGGATTGTTCACTCTCTTTGGCAGAGGAACTGGGCTTGGGACCAAGCTATCCCACAAACTCAGGTTTTTCCCATTTTATTTCAAGGGCAGCCAACTTTAGGACCTTACAAACAGGCTTATGGCAACACTGACAGTGGTGATGAGGGGAGCCAAAGTCAATGCCATCAACAGGCCACATTGCTTTCAGAATAATTTCCCAATCTTTGAAACAACTACAGAGTGATTGCCAGAGTGCCTTAGAGGGGAGGAGGAGAGCTGGAGTGCCTCTGGTGAGTAAGGTTGTGTGTTCAAATGATAAAAGGAATTTTCTGGGGATCCCCAATCTAGTAGCCAGCCTTCCTTCCTTCCTTCTTTTCCTCCCTCCCTCCCTCCTTCCCTCCCTCCTTCCTTCCTTCCTTCCTTCCATCCATCCATCCATCCATCCATCCATCCATCCATACTGAGGATTGAACCCAGAGATGCTTTACCATTGAGCTACAATCCCAGGTCTTTTTTGTTTTTTTTTTTGAGGCAGGATCTTGCTAAATTGCTGAGGCCAACCTCAAACTTGTGATCCCCTTGACTCAGCCTCCCAAGTCTTTAAAATCAGAGGCATGTGCCATCACACTTGGCAGTCTTGTTACAACTTTCTATAGTGTGAAGAATTTTTCTGGAAAATTCTACAGTTTCTTCTGTGGTGATTGTACTATATCCAGTTGTTTAAGCAGAAACCTGGGGTTCATTCAAAACTTTGGTATTTGATCAATATATTCTGCATAGAAAATCTGGCTATTTTTTGATAGTTTTTTTTCTAGCTGGAATAAGATCATTAAAAGTGACTTGATGTAGCCTAGTTTCTTCTTTCCCTTCAGTATTAAACTAAGACACCCCCACCTTTAGAAAGCATGTAGTAGGGCAACCAAGGCTAGGTCAATAACAAGGAAGCCCCAGACCAGAGTCCTTCTGTGGCTCTTCTTACAGTGGTGACTCAGGGATCCACAATCCTATAATCTTATATTGCTGTTATTTAGATTCAGAGGTCATCACAGAAGGGAAAGTGAGAACATGGACAAAGGTGCAATGAATTTTATGGCCAGGGGCCTGAGAATAACATGTAATTTCTTCCCTGTGCTATTGGTTTTAATCCAGTCATGTGGCCCCAATCTGATAAGAACTCCCCAGGGTGTCAGAGAAATTAATATAGAATTGCTGAGGCTGGCCTTGAGCACATGATCCTCCTGCCTCAATCCTCCTTCAGAGATTAGAGGCATGCATCACCACACCTAGCTGTATCCTATTTTTTAATGATGTGGTTTTGATTTCTTCCTATAATTTGTGGGCATACTATAAATTAATACAGAATTTTCTATTAACCAGCTAACCAGTTCAATACAAGTCCATTCCAGTCCACTCTTTTATTCACTGTAAGATCTTAGGTTACAATTCGTTCATCGTTTCTTCCATCCAATTTACTGTGCTGACTGTACTTACGGTATCTACTGTAGGTCAGACTGCTACATTTGAAGAAGGAGGAGAGGAGAGTAAGAGGGGGCTTCCCTGTAAGCAGACACAATGCTTTGGGTTCACCAAATTTTGTCATTCATCTCTTTCCAGTACATGTGAAAACATTTCCAAGATTCTCTGGGAAGTTCTTATTAGGTTGGTGTCACATGACTAGGGGTACAACTAGTACTAGTGGTGAAGTGCCTCTGGATTCCATTGCCAGTTGAAAAAAATAAAAAAGAAATAAAGAAAGCTGTACCAAGACTGAAGGAGGTAATGAGTTAGTTAAAGGAGTCTCTTTCTTATCATAAAAATGGATTATCCAGTTCTTGATTCTCTGAAGAATTCTCTTAATTTAATGAGGTAAAAAAAGAGAGGAAAGTAGGGAGAGAATGTCAGTTTCCTTCAAGTCCTAGGGTATTGGGATCTCAAATGAGAACCATGAGGTGGCCATGTCTATCATTCTGCATCAGAGAAAAACCAATGTCAATCAGCATTAATATGTTGACTCTTGAAATTAAATTTTCTCAAGTGGTTACACAGAACCAAGTCTATTGGATCTAGTCTGGAGAATTCTTTCTTTAGACTTTACAAAATCCCAGGGTTGTAAATAGTTTTGATTTAATGGAATTTGTATTCTTAATTAAGCCCCTTTATTGTAATATGTCTCAGATCATTTGATACCCTAGATTCAATATTTGCTATAGAAACTAAAGGAAGCAAGTTCTCTCTTTCAAAATAGACATATCAGTTCTTGGGCTTGGATCTGCTCTACTTGAGCTAACATCTCTGGACCTTGAGACATTGGAATTTCAGACCTGAGTTATCAAGAAATAATAAGAACATGTAGGAGGTCTGTTCCATGAACTAATACTAATACTGTATTTAGATAAGTAACTAAAATCTCAGTTTGAACATGATGTCTGAAATGAGTGTAAAGACTAAGGGGATGTGGTTGCAATCCTGAAAGTCTGAGTTTTAACCAGAAAATAGGTCAAGAAAAAAACAGAGTTACAAAAACTACATGTACCTGGGCCCTACAAGGATAAGCCTGCTGGTCACATAACAAGGAGGACTTCTCAGGGAAACTGAAGGACTCACATAATCATAGTTTTAGTAAAAATCACAACTAACAATTATGAAGTGATAACTATGTGCCAAGCACTCTGTCAAGTGTTCTACATACATCATCCTGTTTAATTCCTCATTACAAGCCAGTGGGGTACATATTAGTAATTTCTTTCAGGAAACTGAGGTTAATAACTTACCCAAGTACCAAAGTTTTCCTGACTCTAAATTTCAAGTTTTTAACCACAACCCTGCCAAATTTAACATTCAAACTTCCCATTGTGAATTCAGTTTAGGAAATGATATATTGTGTGGTGGGAACAGTAAAGCATGTCAAAGTTCCTGTATCCTACCTTACCTTTGGTCTCAGTTTCCTGGCCTATAAAATGGGACTAATTCCTATCCTGTATTTAGCAGTCTTGAGAAAGCTTTCTCAAAGGCTTCCCAAGTGAAGGATTCTAATTTAGGTTGTC